GCTTTTACTTGCCACTGTAACTTAACTCATAGTACAAACCACAACTAACAAGAAAAAGTGAGCTGCCAAAAATATTCACCAAGATAGAAGCAAGGGAAAGACACTCAAAAGGGAATAAAGGAACAACACCTAAACAGAAAACACTTACTAAAAGCATAGGAAAAATACCCCAAAAACGAAAAATGGGAAATATCTAGCACTCAAACAAAGACCCCCCCACACCTAAATGACACATTGCCCTCAATGTGATAATATAATAGCAGAGAAAAAGGAAGGGGCAACGGTACTTCCCTGGAGTCGTCAAGACAAGGGAGGGTTAGGCGGAAACTGCGGAGGGAACCCGGCCTGCTGCATAAATGCCGCTAGATTCTGCGCCATATTGTGAATGTTAACGTCCATGTGTCGCTGCCTAATCTCAAGCCGCTCGACTGTGCTGCGGAGATGGTTCCATTCCTCATCCGTATGGGTGGAAGGGGGAGGAGCGGAGGAAGATGGGCCAGGATCGCCGCCCTCATTGGAAGCTCGGGCAAAAGATGACCGAGGGGGAGGGCGGAGCGGCCCCGGGGGAACAACCTCCCAACCATTGTCGCCCTCCCGAACTAAGCCCATTTTCTCTAAGCACGGGATATCCAATGGCTCCATTTGACAGGCTACATGCAAGTTATGGTTAGAAATATCAAGGACATGCAAATTTATTAGCCAAGTGGGTAATGTAAGACCCCAAAATCAAGGGGCGCTTCTTTTTAGGCAAAATGGATTTGAACTGAGAAACGAGCCAACACCCAAGGTTAACCTTAATATTGTTTTGCATGCACCATATAAAGAAAAATTCCGGCTTAGACAAAACGCCCGAACTATCTCGCCTACCCGAGAAACTGTAAGCAAAAAAACAGTGGATATAGCGAGAGACCGGGTCCTTCAGATAAGAACCCTTAGATAGACGAGGGTCATAGTTATCCCTGTCTACGGACATCTCATCCCAAATAAAGCGATAGCGGGAGAAAAACGGCTGAACATAGTCACATGCACTCTCGGCATACTCCCTAAACTCAGCATAAGCAGGATCAATGAAACCAAAGGCCAGATTGAAGTCGGTTATGGAATGGTGGAATTCCTGGCCCATTAAACGGAAGCGGATGACATCAGGGGTAGAAACTGTGTAATTAGTGGGAAGGTCAAACTCAAACGTGGCATAAAACTCCCTAACCAACTCGACAAAAGCCGGGAGGTCAGTGATACGAGAATAGGGGCGCCACCCGATGGTTTCAATCAAATCGTGAAAGGGGACGCTAATATTTAGAAGGCCCAAGGTGGCGGGGTCCCGATAACGACACGGAATAATCCGTCGTTCACAAGCCGCTTCATAGCGCCGCTTGTCGGCTACCCTGGTGAAATCTAAATGACCCCCAAAATGTGCAGGGTCAGAGATATGGACGCCTCTTTGTCGCCCAAGAGGAGCCCGCCTCCCAGAGGAGGAAGGATCGTGCGAGGGGTCAGAGGCGGGAATGGAATGCTGGGGTGGAGGGGGCTGAGGAAACCTAGGGGTCCTAGACTTAGAAGAAGATCGAGGCTTCACCATGGTGACCAACAGGCAAACCAAACAACCAAGTAGCAAATATAAGCGTCACAGGCGCCCCCAATAAACAAGTATAAGCGTCACGGGCGCCCCCAAATTTAACCAGCAATAGCAGCAAAGCACCCAAAATTTGACACCAAAGATATGAATCAGACACAGTTGGACCCAAAACCGGAACCTCTGTCTCTAACTGGACAGTCAATTACCCAAGACAATTTACCAAATTGTCAAACAATGGGCAATAGCAGCAACCACATGTCAAAATGCGCCCACAACTGAAGTACAAGGTTAGTAGCTCGCAACCAGTCAGGCGACCATATAAAATCAACGAAGGTAATCAAAAGTCTCCCACCAGTACCACTGGTGCACAGACAGGAAAGAATTAAATTCAACGGTAGCAACTCAATCCACCAGAACTGAAACTTGAAAATAAGCCAGTATCTCCAAAAACAGCAACAATGATATGCTAAAGTGCTCAACCAGTACCACTGGTGAGTCACAGGGAAAAATTAAAGCAAATGGCCAGCAATTCAATAAATATCAGAGAATACCCCCCACATATGGCAGCAATTACCCCCAAATCTGTCCAAAATTTACCCTAGAAAATGCCCAAGTACCACCCTCCTGTATCCAACAAGAAATCCACCCACAAATTTCAGAGATTGAAACTAATTAGGGGAAGAGATGATAATACCTCCACCTGTCTCAATTGGACAGGTGGTGATGCGTGCGGCTAGCGATGTCAAGCTACGTTGCTTGGGCAGAGTGGGGGAGAGTTAGGCGAGCTTGGTGGTGGTCTGCGAGGAGGGGCTTGGGCGAGCCAGTGCCGCGCGCGAGAGGTGGAGCTGTCGGCTGTCGCGCGGCTGATGGCAGTCGCACGGCTGTCGCGGGCGAGGAGCTGCGGGCGGCGCAGGCTGGAGTTGCCCTTGCGCGAGGTGATGCTGGCCGTGGGCTGCGGGTGGCGGTGGTTGTCGCAGAGGCAGCGCGAGCTTCGAGGTGGCCTGCGAGGAGCGGCGATGGCGAGTGGCGCACGGCTGGTGGAGCTGCACTGGTGGTGGCGATGGCGAGAGACGCGCGGCTGGTGGAGCTGCTCGCGATGGAAAAGACAGCAACGGCGGCGGCGGATGAAGAAGAAAAGAAAAGGGGAAAAAGAAAGCAGCGGGGAAGAAGGAAGAAAGAAAAAGAAAGAAAGAAAGAAAGAAGAAAAGAAAAGAAAGAAAAAAAGAGTTTTTTTTTCTTTTTTTTTCTTCTTAACCTTGTTTCTTCAATTTTTCCCGAATTCTTCCGTTTTTTTTTTAAGGTCCTCAAACACCGTGTGGGCATGCCAAGATTATAAAACATTCACTGACCTCAGGAGACACAAACACTGCGTGGGCACGCCAAGATTACGAAACGTCCCAAACCTCAGGAGACACCAACACCGCGTGGGCACGCCAAGATTGGTCTTCGTCCTCTGATCTCAGGAGACACCAACACTGCGTGGGCACGCCAAGATCTCACTTCCTGATTTCAGTGAAGGAAATATTAATACAGATACTACCCAACGAGTAAATGACCCACTGCAAAAGAAGAACAACTAGAAATAACAAAACAACTAGAAATAACAAAACTAATATTCAGGTTGCCTCCCAAACTAGCGTCTTTCTTTAGTGTTTTTAGCTAGACACAGCCCATAATTTGCTTAATCCAAGCAAATGGGGTCCTCCAAATGCATTGTCTCTACCCGTTCAACCGGAGCCCCATCATAATATGGCTTGAGACGATGACCATTCACCACAAATTTCTTTTCCGTCCTTAGACTCTGGATCTCCACTGCACCATAATCAAATACATTAGTCACCATAAAGGGACCGATCCAACGAGAACGTAACTTACCTGGAAATAACTTCAACTTTGAGTGGTACAGTAAAACTTTTTGCCCACATTCAAACGTCTTCCTAGAGACATGCTGGTCTTGAAAAATCTTATTTTTCTCCTTATAAATCACAGCATTCTCGTAGGCTTCATTGCGAATCTCCTCCAATTCTTGTAACTGTAGCTTCCTTTGAATTTCGCCCTCTTCGATATCCATATTACATTGCTTGACCGCCCAAAATGCTCTATGCTCGAACTCGACAGGGAGGTGGCATGGCTTCCCAAATACCAAACGGTAAGGGGACATGCCGATTGGTGTCTTGTATGCCGTTCTATATGCCCACAAGGCATCTTCAAGTCTCATGCTCCAATCCTTCCTATCGGGTCGAACCATCTTTTCCAAAATTGATTTGATCTCCCGGTTCGACGTCTCCGCCTGGCCGTTTGTCTGAGGATGGTAAGAAGTGGACACTTTGTGCAAGACACCGTACCTCCTGAAGAGCGCAGCAATCGTCTTGTTGCAGAAATGGGTACCCTGATCACTTACAATTGCTCGCGGCATCCCAAAGCGGACAAAAATATTAGATTTGACAAATTTTGCAATCACTTTGGAATTATTAGTACGAGTGGGCTTTGCTTCCACCCATTTCGAAACATAGTTTACAACAAGCAATATATATAGACAACTATAAGATGAAGGAAAAGGGCCCATAAAGTCAATACCCCAAACGTCAAAAATCTCAACAAAAATCATTGGGGTTTGGGTCATTTGATCCCTACGAGAAATATTACCTATTCTTTGACACTTATCACATGACTTACAAAATGAGTAGGCATCCTTAAAGAGGGTTGGCCAATAGAATCCACTCTCTAGAACCTTACGAGCAGTCCTCTTTGGTCCAAAGTGACCTCCACATGCAAAAGAGTGACAATAAGCTAAAATAGACTGGAATTCATTTTCACTTACACATCTGCGAATGATTTGGTCGGCACCACGCTTCCAGAGGTAAGGGTCATCCCAGATGTAAGACTTTGCGTCATTCCTTAACTTATCCTTTTTTGCCTTAGGCCATCCTGCAGGGAACTTGTCAGTAACTAGAAAATTAACAATATCTGCATACCAGGGCAAAGTTAAATTAGCAGAAAATAAGTGCTCGTCGGGGAAAGTTTCTCTCAATGGGATATCGTCCTTGGTGACTTGTACCCGACTCAAGTGATCTGCAACCAAATTCTCTGCCCCTTTTTTATCTCTGATCTCCAAGTCAAACTCCTGTAGCAACAGTATCCACCTTATCAGTCGCGGTTTTGCCTCTTTCTTGGTCAACAGATACCGCAGGGTTGCATGATCAGAGAAAATAATAACTTTAGCACCAAGTAAATAGGAACGAAATTTTTCTAAAGCAAAAACTACAGCTAAAAGCTCTTTCTCAGTGGTCGAATAGTTCAATTGGGCTCCGTTCAAGGCTCGAGATGCGTAGTATATAGCGTGGGCTGCCTTTCCCACTCTTTGACCTAGCACCGCACCCACTGCGTAATCGCTGGCGTCACACATGATTTCAAATGGGCGATTCTAATCAGGAGGTTGGATGATAGGTGGAGAAGTGAGTAATTTCTTCAACTTCTCGAACGCTTCTTTGCACTCCTCGTTGAATTCAAAACTGACATCCTTTTGCAAAAGCCTAAAAAGTGGTGCCCCGATCTTTGAGAAATCCTTGATAAATCTGCGATAGAAACCTGCATGTCCTAGAAAAGAACGAACTTCCCGTACAGTTACGGGGTAAGGTAAAGCAGATATCACATCTATTTTAGCTTTATCAACTTCAATTCCTCTAGATGACACTACATGTCCTAGAACTATCCCGTGCTCAACCATGAAGTGACATTTTTCCCAGTTGAGCACTAGGTTAGTCTCAATGCATCTCTTCAAAATCAATGTTAGGTTATCTAAGCAATCATCAAAACTATCACCATAGACACTGAAGTCATCCATGAATATCTCAATTATTCTCTCCACATACTCAGAAAAAATGCTAATCATGCACATCTGGAATGTTGCAGGGGCATTACACAATCCAAAAGGCATCCTTCGATAGGCAAAAGTGCCAAAGGGGCAAGTGAAAGTTGTTTTCTCTTGATCCTCTGGCGCAATTGCTATCTGAAAATAACCAGAGAAACCATCTAAAAAATAATAATAGGTACGACAAGCTAACCTTTCAACCATTTGATCAATGAATGGAAGGGGAAAATGATCCTTCTTGGTCACTGCGTTCAATTTACGGTAATCGATGCACTGGCGTCAACCCGTAGGCTTTCGAATTGGAACAAGGTCCCCTTCATGATTTTCTTCCGCAGTTACCCCTGCTTTCTTTGGCACCACTTGGACCGGACTCACCCATGAGCTGTCTGAGATAGAGAAAATAATTTCTACGTCCAGAAGCTTGATTACCTCTTTCTTGACCACTTCCATCATGATGGGGTTCAATCTCCTTTGTGGTTGTCTTATCGGCCTAGCATCCTCTTCCAGGCGAATGCGATGCATGCACACAGACGGGCTTATACCCTTGATGTCTGCAATTGTCCACCCTATAGCTTCCTTATGCTCCCTTAAAACCCGCAACAGCTTGTCCTCCTCCGTGGGTGATAATTTGGATGAGATTATCACTGGTAACGTCTCTTTTTCACCTAGAAAGGCATACTTTAAATGCTCGGGCAGGGGTTTCAACTCCACTTCAGGTGTCTACACGATAGAAGGTAATAGCTTTAGGTGTGGTTCAGACACAAATATAGGAGCAACATCATACCTTAGAGGACTTTGGCCTAGTGAATGCAAGGCTTCAACCATTCTTTGCAAATTGATGTCTAACTCCATTTCGCAGGCTGCTTCCAGATCCAAATGTTTGGTGATTGCTACCTCCAATTCATCCCTGCCATTAATCTCAAATACTTCTTGCACCAAAGGGTCAATTATACTTGCAGCAAAAACAGCATTAGAATGACACGGATATTTCATGGCCTCAAATATACTGAAATGAACTATTTCTCCATCAAATTCCATCGTTAGGGTGCCCTTACTAACATCAATTTTTGTACGAGCCGTGCTCAAGAAGGGCCTCCCCAACAAAATTGGTGATGGATTTGGAGAACGTTCATCACCCATATCAAGAATATAAAAATCAGCAGGGAACACTAAATTGTTCACTTGTACTAACACATCTTCTATCACCCCATCAGGATAAGCATTAGTCCTATCAGCCAATTGAATTATAATGCCAGTTTCTTTTAAGGGGCCCAAATTCAGAGAAGCATATATAGCCTTGGGCATCACATTTATAGAGGCTCCTAAGTCTAACATGGCATTCCTAATGCTAGTGTTCCCTATTTTACAAGGAATAGTGAACAATGGAAAACATATAAAAACAACTATATTATTATTATTTCAATTAAAACCATGATATTTTGGTGAATAGCCCTCAATTACTATGTCTGAAATTTCTTCTTACAGATTGAAGGAGCTTTTGTTCAAGGAATTGGGTTCTTCATGCTCGAAGAGTACCTTACAGATGCAGATGGATTGACAATTTCAGACAGCACATGGACATACAAGATCCCAACAATTGACACCATTCCGAAGCAGCTCAATGTTGAAGTTTGGAACAGTGGACATAACAAAAAACGTGTTCTATCATCTAAAGGTATTTGTTTTAAGTTTCTCTACAGTCTCTTGAGGAACATTACCGTCAATTGAACTTCTACTTCCGTTGTTGGCTTGCTGTTTTCAAGTTGCAGGCACTGATTCAATCTGTTTGAATTATAGAAAATAGAGTTTGGAAAGGAAAACTGAAAGATTACAGAATAAATCTTTAATATTGTAAAGAGTTTATTTTTCCTGAACGAAAAAAAGAGAATTTCCATTAACTGTCTCCATTGCCACAACAATACTTAGGTAACCTGTGTTTTGTTTGAAATTTCCTGGTGATCTTAACTAATGAATAATGAGCTACTTGTTGCCATGCAATTTTTTGGAGGATAAAAGACAACAAAGTGGTAAGAAAAAGAACAGCTTAAGAGACTCAGCTGTGGACGGCCAAATGAATTAGTCACCAGACTTCAGCTATTCCGAGCTAGAGGCTTCTTCTATACAAAATAAAGAAAAAGATAAGATAGTGAAGAAGAGGCCTAGAACATGATCAATTTTGGTAGTTAGAACTTAGAACTCTTTGAAAGCAAACTCTGCTTGGGAAGAAATAATAATGTTTCAGCATTTAAATTGACATGTCAATGGAACCCTCAAGATGTAGTTCCTTACTAATGATGGCTTCAAGATGCACTGTTCTCTTTTGTTCTAACAACTAAGATGTACTGCTTACTTGGGAAAGAAATATCTATCCTGAATATTATGTTAATGGGAAGTAATTGAAAGCAAAGAACATTTATGCTTACTTTCATGACTTAGGGTTCGTGTATTTGGTGTCCTAAGAACACATAATAAAGAGTGGATCTAATGCTGTTTTTTTTTTTTTTTCTTGGCGAGATGGCAAGTTTAATATGTAAATTTATTACAATTCAAGGGATAAATGACAATTTTAATGTCATTATTGTGCCCTCTTAAGGCACTAAATATACGTAAATAAATGTTCAACCGCATATTATGTTTAAAAAATTAGTTAAATGGCCGCTATGGGAATCCGCGACTCATATCTCTCCTACTTTAACCTCCTTCCAGGGCAAAACGAATGATGAAATATTTTTGGGTTCTGTTACGGGAAATAAGGAGAAAATGTTTAGAAGTTGGACCTTTTCAGGTTTTTAAGCTTTCAATTTTTATAGGACCGTTCATCATAGATGGAATCAGAAATTTTCTGTTGAGGAGGCGAATTTCGATTCAATTAAATCCAAGTATGTAACTTCAAAATTTTTTTAATTTTTTATGAGGGCAAAAGTTAAATTTATAAAGATTTTTTCTTTGAAATTTTTAATTTTTTAAAAGAAAAAGACTTAATTTTTCAAAACTTGGGGGAGGGGCCCGCCTCCTTAGTTCCGTCCCTACCATTCATAAGTTTCAAATGTTTTATTTATTTTCCTATGCATACTAGGATGAAAAAGAGAAGGAAGATGAAACATTTTTTTTTATTTTAATTCCTTCATTTTAATTTGGGAAACTATAGGAATTTATGATTTTTGAGTTAGATTTTTTAGCTTTTGATTTTCTTTATTTCATTTTTTTAGTCAAATGTGTTCAAGTTTGGTTTGTTTTTTCATCAAGTTCGGTAAACTTGTGCCAACTTCTATACAAATTGAACTCGACCGTGCTCTTATAAATCCGAATTTATTTTAAATTTGAATAGCCTTATTATTGTAACACTTAACTCTTATCGTTTTGATATATGTAACAAACTTTAGGGACCGATAAATATAGGAGAAAGGGCATTCAAACTGCCTCACGATAATTCAGCGGAGGCGCATAGCTTTTAAGGCTATAGCAATGGTTAATGGATTATTGATTTTGGTGTTAGTGCAAAAATTTTCTTATGCTAGTGTATTTGGATGATGCATGCTGCATAATTATGCCGAAAATTCTTAAGTGAGATCGTAGCAAAAGGCTTAAATTCAGTTTTTTTATGGGGTCTGAATTCAGTTTCTGAGAAAAGAAGGAAATTAAAGTTAATTTGAGTAAAATTTAGGGTAAATTGTATGTAATCTTCCTGCGGTTTCATCTATTGCCACATGATCCCCTAACGCTTCAAAATGTGCACTTCACCCCCTATGATTTTATGTAAAGTGAAAATTCACTAAAAATATTCTATGTAATATCGTTAGTTGAAATACCAATAGTGACCTTATTCAAATGTTACATCAATAGGTGACTTAATCACCTTGTGTAAAAGCAGCATAGGGAGATTACATGGATAAATACAAAATTCAGAGGAGGTAAAGTGGGTATTTAAATAAACCATAAAGGAGTTCCATGAATATTAAGATTGTTGGCAAACATCTTGAGATGCACCTTAGGATTTCCAGTTCTATCATGTTTGACATATTAGTAAGATTTTACCACACAAATTTTTAAAGTGGTTTGATATAAATGCTTTAACTGATTGTGCATTCTATCCATTTTTTCACTTTACATAAAATCATAGGGAGTTATGTAGCTATTATAAAACCTTAGGGAAGTCATTTGACATTATGTAAAATTACAGGGGGATAATAAGTAATTTACCCTAAAATTTAAGGATATGAGAATGCAACAATAGATTGTGTAACATTCCTAGGAAATGTATACATCATACATTCCAACAATTGAGTGATTGTCTCTGTTGGCCTCACGTGTATGGACGTTAGTCCTAGACCCTACTCGTTAAGAATTCTTGAGCCTATATATGTAAGCTGTTGAGTTCTCTGTCAGTCACTGAGCTTCAATTTCCACCTGGGATCAGTTCGTCTGACTCAGAAAAGGAGCAAAATGGGACTACAACCCCACGTCCAGAAGCTGGCAATAGCAGTCTTGTGTTTGCAGTGAATGGAGAGAAGTTTGAGGTGGCAACTATTGACCCTTCAACTACTTTGCTTCAGTTCTTGCGTAATCATACTCGTTTCAAGAGTGTCAAGCTCAGCTGTGGTGAAGGTGTCTACTTCTATCCGTTGATTTGTTTACTGTTTCTTGAATTCTTGATGAATGTTTTGGGTTTTTATTTATCAGTTCCTATTTGCTGTTGTGATTTGTTGAACTGTTTTTAAGGCGGATACGGAGAGCATGAAACATATTGATCCAAAACCACTGCAGGTTGACTAATGATTACGTTGCCCGGTTTTTTTTCTGGCTCTTTATTAATCTCTTATAAGTTTCTGCCTTCTCATATGTTGTTGAGGTTTCTTTTGCTGAGGGTGGTGGTGTTGTTGAAGGCTTAGGATTCAGAGGCTGGTTCCATTGCAGGAATCAGTTATTTTCATAAGCAATGATCTTGATAACACTTAATTACCAATAAAACAGATTCTCCAGAATCCAATTTTTGGAGTTCAGATTGCATAAGCCAATGTCGAACGGAATGATATCTTATTGGATCCCCTTCTAATAGTTGACATAGGGTGGTGAGTGCCAAAAGTTTCTTATTTTTTTTCATGAATAGTAATAGACCACATGCTTTGCGCTTGAACGTGATGCTTTTGAATTTTCTTTTTTCTCCCCTCAAAATTTTGAGAAAATCAATTGATTTGAAGAAATAAATGTAATTGGGACAAGAAAAGAGTGATATTTAGTGTTTGTACTGTTTTATATTTTATGTGAATTTGGTATGTCGCAACCAACACAAACACACAAGCAAAAAAACATCCTTCGTTTCAAGAGCACTTTTGTTTTATAGGAGTATCAATGTTTTCGTCTTTCTGTTAAATTTGAGTAACCTAAATGTTCTTTTTGATGCCATTTCAGATTAAAATTTTCACCTTTTTGAGTAATTTGTTGTTCTCCCTTACATCATTATATGAACTTTTTATCAGTTTTAGTGAGTTTTTTTTTTTATTAATGGTGGATTGTAAAATGATTCGCAATGTCATTGCTTATGACACTATTTAAACTATATTGAAATTTCATTCCTCAAATTTTAATAGTTTAAATTTGAAGAGAGCTCTTTTGATTTAGTAACGCTTGTTTACGTTTCTCATTGATGACATGGTTTATGATTATAAAGTTTATACGATTGACAATTGTAAATTGTTAGGATTAATTATTACAAAATAGCCAAACTAATGAGGAATTTGAATATATTTTAATTCACCTTTGTCGTTGTTACTATAATTGACATTGATGTATATTATATTCATTGATTATAGTTTAATGCTGTCAGTTATTACAAGAATATCCATAGTAAAGTTTGTTCAATTTATTTTGGGCAAATTCCACTCTACCCCCTGTGGTTTAGTATTTTTTCACATAACCCCCATATGGTTTCAAAAGCTATACATAACCTCCTTATGATTTGGATTAAAGTGTCAAAGTAACGTAAATAGTCACTTATAACGACGTCACTTAAAATATCAAAAATACCCTTATGTAAAGTTGAAATTTATGTATTAACCAAGGGGGTTATATGTATATTTTGAAAATCATAAGGGGGTTATATGGTAAAGTATTAAACTATAAGGGGGTTATATGTTAAAATATAAAAATCATATGGGGTCGATGTGTCATGTATTTATAAGGGTAATTTCGACATTTTTAGAAGTTCTGTTACGGGTGACTATTTCCGTTACTTTGACACTTTAATCCAAACTATGAGGGGGTTATGTATAGATTTTGAAACCATAGGGGGGTTATGTAAAAAAAAGGTAAACCACAGGGAGGTAAAATGTAATTTACCCATTTATTTTTTGTGGTGATTCAATAAAAATATCCCTAACATTATACTTTTTGCCTATCTTTGCACTTCATCTCTTATTATATTTTGTGTTAAAAGTTCTTATTCAATACCAATCCATACGTACTAGACTTATTGTACTTATATCCAAAAAGCAACAAGACTTGTGGAACTTATAGGAGATTAATGGTACCAATTTGTTATATTTTATTTCATGTTTGAAATATTCTTTAAACTTGAATATTTTGTAAATAAAATGAGTTCTTCCCTTTTTTTTGTTTATTTCACCATAAGGGAATGCTTCATTTTTGTATCTATTAGCATAATTCATATTAATTATAAAGGATATGCAATGCAATTTATTCGATTTATTGGTGAGGAGGATAACACAAAAAACTAACATCAACCCTTGCTCACACCGTTAACCGCCATTCACAAAGACTCACCATACCTTTTATAGCGTAACAGATAGATAGATAGATTATTGTCTTTCATTCAACATGTTATCAAAGGCAAATGTTACGATATTCTGACTCTAAATTATGGTTCAGATTCAAGTTATCGGCTTTACAGCATCTTTAACTTCAGAAAGTCTTGGTTGCATCAGCTGCTTTACTTTGTTAAGTTCAAAGATTCTAGACATACCAATTCTAATTCACTGGATATGATCTTCACTCTCATGGAATTACATAATTCATTTTTGGTGCATTGTTTCACATGAAGTACTTCAAATTCTGGTCCTCTGATATAATTGTCTTACTTCAATGTAAGTTTTTAGTGAGTAAAGTAGAATTGCCTTCATATGACGTTCAATGCAGGAGATATTCAACAACGAAAAGTACTCTGGATTTGTATGCATAGTCATTGCACTGAATCTGAAAAGACAGAATCCAGGAGAACTTTGCTATCTTATCGCTGACTTTCAACTGTTTACACAGCTTTAGCACATTTGCTTTAAAATATTTTGACATAATTTATTGCTCATTTTCTGCTACAGAATTAGTAGCAGCTTGACATGTTCAGCTTTTCACCTAGATAGATATATTCAACAGAATTTGACTTAGTTTCTAGTTGCTTCACTTGACTATTGTGTTAAAGATTGCTAATGTGGGCACATGCATTACTTGTTAAAGCTGTTCATCAAACTGATAGCCTGTTCATTTTTTTTAATGGCACAGGTGGCTGTGGTGCTTGTGTTGTTATGCTCTCTAAATATAACCCTGTGCTTGATCAAGTCGAAGATTTCTCTGTGAGCTCATGCCTAACACTTCTTTGCAGTGTGAATGGTTGCTCAATTACTACCAGCGATGGACTTGGAAATAGTAAAGATGGTTTCCATCCAATTCATCAACGATTTGCTGGATTCCATGCTTCTCAATGTGGATATTGCACACCTGGAATGTGTATGTCATTTTTTGCAGCACTTACGCAAGCTGAAAAAGCAAACAGGCCAGAACCTCCACCAGGATTTTCCAAGCTGACTGTTGTTGAGGCTGAAAAGGCCATAGCTGGAAATCTCTGTCGCTGTACTGGATATCGACCCATTGCTGATGCCTGCAAAAGTTTTGCTGCTGATGTTGATTTGGAGGATTTGGGACTGAATTCCTTTTGGAGAAAAGGAGAGCCAAAGGAAGTTAAATTAAGGAGATTGCCTTTGTATACTCCCGATGGTAGGTTCAGTAGATTTCCAGAATTTTTGAGACTCAGGTTAAAGTCAGCAAAGATCTTGCACTTAGAAAGCAAGTCCTGGTATAGTCCTACTACTCTTGAGGAGCTTAAAAGCTTTTTGGACTCTAACATGATTGAGGATGATATGCGGACTAGGCTAGTAGTTGGTAACACTGGGATGGGTTACTATAAGGAACTAGATAACTACGATAGATACATTGATCTCAAATATGTACCTGAGCTTTCAACGATAAGAAAAAACCACCAGGGAATTGAAATTGGGGCTGCTATGACAATCTCCAAAGTTATATCATGTCTGAAGGAGGAAGGTAACGTAAATTATTCCTCTGATAGAAAGCAGGTCCTTGAAAAACTGGCTGGCCATATGGAAAAAATTGCTTCAGGGTTCATTAGAAATTCCGCCAGTATTGGTGGGAATTTAGTAATGGCACAAAGGAAAAGTTTTCCTTCAGATATAGCTACTATACTTCTTGCTGTAGGTTCTGTTGTTAGCATAACAACCGGCCACAAGCTTGAAAGCCTTACATTGGAAGAATTTTTGGCAAGACCACCTATGGACTCGAGAAGTGTGCTGCTCAGTGTCCATATTCCTTCTTTAAAGCCAAAAGGAAGTGGTAACAGCAACGAATCTAGTTCCAAGTTGATTTTTGAGACCTACCGTGCTGCACCACGACCCCTGGGAAATGCTTTGCCTTATTTGAATGCTGCATTCCTGGCTGATGTGTTACCTCAAGTAAATGGACTTATAGTAAATGATATCCAATTGGCTTTTGGTGTTTATGGGACTAAACATGCAACACGAGCAAGAAAGGTTGAGGAATACCTTTCAGGGAAGATACTAACTGCTAGTGTTCTATATGAAGCAGTAAAATTAGTTAAAGTAGCCGTAATACCTGAAGCTGGCACTTCACATGCTGCTTACAGGACGAGCTTGGCTGTTAGTTTTCTTTTCCAGTTTCTTTTTCCATTTGTCAATGTAGGTTCTGCTATTTTTGGTGGTGTGTCCAATGGATTTACTGGCAATTCACTGGAGGATTCTTCTGAAAACCATAAAAATAATTCTCTGCGTCAATGGGCTAGTCCAAAATTGTTGTCCTCTGCTAAGCAGGAGGTGAAATCAAGTAAGGAATACTATCCAGTAGGAGAACCAATGACAAAGTCTGGTGCTGCCCTCCAAGCTTCAGGTTTATTTGTTTCTCAATTTTGTTGGGATAATTTTTCTTAGACATAATTCGCCACAATCTCTGATTGCTTTAGTTCTAGTTGTTTTACAGACTCAAGTCGCTACAGTTAATGGCCTCTTACAGGCCTACTTCTCAAAACTCATTTGAAAACCTGGCTTAGCTCATCTCCAAACATGCATCAAATTATCGTAACATTTTTATGTTATAAACTTGTGAAACTTTAAATTCCACATTACTCCAAATGTCTTACTAGTTCTTCTTTAGTGAAACATTACCAAAATTTACCTTAGGCAATTGTCTCCATAATATTAGAATTGGTGGACATTTTTAAAGAATACCTTATCAATTCCATTACTTCCATGCAAATTATGTATACTTATCGTCTTCACTTTGTTTTTTGGCCTTCAGACCAAAATTTTGGATCGATGTTTTTAATTCCACTGGCATTGAACTTGCAAGTATGTATTCAACTTGTCCTTGGTAAATTTTCCTGTGGCTTAGAGAAACCTCATTTTCAGTTTCATACTTGTTTGATTCCTTTATTTTTTGGTTTTGGGGGGATGGGGTGTTACGGAGGCGGTAGTCTCGTGTCAAAGCTGTTGCAAGATTGGTTTTTAAAAATCTCAATTCCACCAGTTTTTTCCACTTGGACCTTGTACTATTCTCTTAATTTCACTTTCCCATCATGATCTTCATCTTTCCCCACATTTGAATGTATCAAGATCAATTCCACAGGAGAAGCTGTGTATGTTGATGACATTCCATCACCTCCAAATTGTCTGTATGGAGCATTTATTTACAGTACAAAACCTTTAGCGAAGGTAAAAGGTGTGGAATTGGAATCAAACAATCTACAAAGTGGAGTTGCTGCTCTCATATCTTATAAAGATATTCCAGAAGGCGGGGAAAATGTAGGATCCATGACAACGCTTGGTTTTGAACCTTTATTTGCTGATGAACTTACCAGGTGTGCCGGAGAGCCAATTGCATTTGTGGTAATTTTATGCTTCCAGATCCTCTCCTTTAATCGCAGATACTCCTCAAGTACGATGCCATATCCTGTTTATGTCTTTAATTGGAATAAACATTTATAGGTAGCAGAAACGCAAAAGTCTGCCGATCTTGCAGCAAAATCAGCTCTGGTCGAGTATGACACTGAAAATTTGGATCCACCAATTTTAACTGTTGAAGAAGCCGTGGAGAGGTCAAGTTTTTTTGAGGTCCCTTCTTTCTTGTATCCAACACAGGTTGGTAATTTCTCCAAAGGAATGGCTGAGGCTGATCATCAGATTCTTTCTGCTGAGGTAGTAGTAGTTTCTCATCTCAATTGTTTTGCCACATTTTTCTGAAGTGTTCTTCATATTCTCAAGAATACTGAAAAGCCATGCTCAGTTCCAAGTTTATCTGCTTATTTGTTTTACAGGTCAAACTTGGGTCTCAATACTATTTTTATATGGAGACACAAACCGCACTAGCTGTGCCAGATGAAGACAATTGCATATTAGTTTATAGTTCAACTCAGTCCGCAGAGCATATGCACCATACAATCGGAAAATGCCTTGGCATTCCCGATCATAATGTCCGTGTAGTTACAAGAAGGGTTGGGGGAGCCTTTGGGGGCAAGTTAATGAGATCAATGCCTGTGAGTATCATTAACATGCAGATTAAGTTTTTTCTTAATGTTTTCATAGCATATGCCTTATCTTTGAGTTATTTTGCTGCCATTCAAAGTGGCCTGGTCTATGTCAGATAAGGTAAAAATTTTTACAGGGAAAACAAAGATGATTCTTGCTGAAAGAAGCTTCTGCATGCATTGATGTTGTCCTGTTGAATTGTCAAGCATTGCGGCTTGACTTGTGTGGCAAACATTTCCATCCCACATCGATGGCAGCCAAGGAAAGCCTTCCATTGTTTTCTTATAAATAGGGAAGCGTATGAAGGTTTAAGGTGCACCACTCAAGAGAGTTATATGGGCTATTAGTTTCTTGAGTCATCTAGCCCATTTAGTCAAATATTTTAGGCTCTCTTGTATTGTGTTTAGGAATATTTCCTAAACCTTTTATAAGTGCCTTTTGACTAGAAACCACTTTCCTACGGCTTTTGTATTTCTTTTTCATAATAGAAATATTGCTCCTCCCTCGCCCGTGGACATAGGTCAATTTGACCGAATCACGTAAATCTTCTGTGTCTTTTATTTGCTTTGTTATCCGTCTTTATATGGTCGGTTTTACCGCCTAATTATTATATGGCTGGTATCTACCGCCTATCTATTATATGGTCGGTTATACCGCTTACTTTGTTCTAACTTGAGTTTGTCTATTTCCTGGCCCGGTCCTAACAAACTGGTATCAGAGCTGGTTGATATATTTTGCAAGACAGGTTCATCTCGTGGGGCCCGTTCATCTGGTGGGGTCCGTCCATCCTGTGGGACCCACTCATCTTGTGGGATCCATTTATTCATGGGGCCCGCTCACCTTGTGGGGTCCGTTCATCCGTGGGGCTCGCTCATCTTGTGGGGCCCGTTCATCTCCGTGGGGCCCGCTTATCTCGTGGGGTGGGGCCCACTCACGAGACTTGCATAGTGGGCCCCACTCACGAGACTTGCATATTTGTTTCGCCAGTTTTTTGAGACAAATTTCAGATTACAGATTTTGTGGCAACAATGACGATAACAAAGACGGTTGTCGAGAAATTCGACAGAAATGTCAACTTCGGCATGTGGCAGCTCAAGATAGAGGCCATTCTTGTTCAAGATGGAGTTGATCTAGCGATTCATGGAATCGAGAACAAACCAGAAGATGTAAAGGATGCGGATTTCTCTGATATGGATAAGAAGGCTAGATCCAGCATAATTTTGAATCTCTCCGATGAGGTATTGCATGAGGTAGCAACGGAGACTTCAGCCAAGGCTATGTGGGATAAATTGAAAGCTTTGTATATGAAGAAGACAGTCGAGAATCGACTATATTTGAAGCAGAGTTTGTATATGCTTCGGATGTCTGAAGGTACATCTATACTCTCCCATCTTGATAAATTTGATTCCATTATTATGGATTTGGAGAATATAGATTCGAAAATTGATGATGAAGATCAGGCCCTATTACTTTTGTGTTCCCTTCCCCAGTCCTTTAAGTATTTTCGTGACACTATGATTTATGGAAAGGAAACAATTTCATATCGAAAAATTAAATCTGCACTAAAATCTAAAGAGCAGATAGATAGGGATATTACTGGGGAAACTAGTGGGAGTCAAGCTGATGGCTTGTTTGTTCGGGGTAGATCTGAAAGGAGAAACACAGAAAATAGAAGTAGATCCAAGTCCAGACATAAAAATGTGGTGTGCAACTATTGTAAAAAGAAGGGTCATATTATCTCTGATTGCTTTAAATTGAAAAATAAAGAAAAGCAAAAGGAGAAAAGGAGTGAAACCACCGAGGCTAGTATTGCTGTTGATGAGAATGATGGAACTATTTTCTGTGCAACAGAAAATAATTTTAGGTCTAACAATGAGTGAATTTTAGATTGGGGTTGTTCATATCATATGTGTCCCAACAGGGACTGGTTTTCAACATATGAACCAACTGAAAGTGGAGTTGTCTTAATAGGCAACAACGCTGTTTGTAAAGTTGTTAGCAAAGGTACAATCCAGATTAAAATGTACGATGGTATTGTGAGAACGCTCACAAATGTTAGACATGTTCCAGATTTGAAGAAAAATCTCATCTCTTTGGGCACTCTTGAGTCTATCGGGTGCAGGTATTCAGGTGGAGATGGAGTTCTCAAAATCACTCGAGGAGCTCTTGTTGTTATGAAGGCACACAGATCTGGTACTTTATATATTTTGCAGGGATCTACTGTGACAGGTGCTGTTGCTGTTTCAACATCATCTTTATCATATACAGACATCACCAAATTATGGCATATGCGTTTGGGGCACATGAGCGGAAAAGGTTTGGACATACTAAGCAAAAGAGGACTTCTGTGTGGACAAAGTACCGGTCCATTGGAATTCTGTGAACATTGTATTTTTGGGAAGCAGAAAAGAGTCAGCTTCAGTTCACCAGCAATTCACAAGACAAAAGGTACTCTTGATTACATTCATTCAGATCTATGGGGTCCTTCTCGTGCTCCTTCTAAAGGTGGTGCCAGGTACATGTTGACTTTCTTTGATGATTATTCAAGGAAAGTTTGGGTCTATTTTCTTAAACATAAAAATGATGTTTTCCAAACTTTCAAACAGTGAAAAGTTTTGATTGAGAAACAAACAGGAAAACATGTTAAGCGGTTAAGAACGGATAATGGCATGGAATTTTGTGAAGGTGAATTTAATGAATTTTGCAAAAATGAAGGAATTGTTCGACATCACACCGTCAGAATGACGCCTCAACAAAATGGTGTGGCCGAACGTATGAACAGAACGCTTTTGGAGAGAGCAAGATGTATGATCTCCAATGTAGGATTGACAAACGACTTTTGGGCAGAGGCGATCAATATGGCCTGTTATATTGTCAACCGTTCTCCTTCTGCATCTCTTGATTTCAAAACTCCTGAGGAAGTTTGGTCAGGTACTCCTGCTGATTACTCCAATTTAAAAGTTTTTGGGTGTCCAGCATACATGCACGTGAATGATGGAAAATTGGAGTCTAGGGCTAAAAAGTGCATTTTTCTTGGATATGCTTCTGGGGTGAAAGGATACAGATTATGGTGTCCTGATCCCAAATCTCCAAAATTTGTAATCAGTAGAGATGTTACTTTTGATGAATTGTCTATGTTATCTTCCAAGAATGAGTCTTCTAGTCCTTGTACTACTGATAGTACACAGAAGCAGGTGGAGCTTGATATTGGCAGTTCTGGTCCTTCTCAATCCAAATCTTCTATTCAGCAAGTGCCAGTAGATGCACTTGAATCTACTATTGAAGATAGTTCAGAAGAAGAGGAGTATTCCATAGTCAGAGATAGACAAAGGAGAGACATTCGACCACCACAAAGATATGCAAATTTAGTTGCATATGCTTTGTCTGTTGCAGAAGAAACTGATGCAGCTGGTGAGCCTTCCACCTATTCAGAAGCAGTTTCTTGTGATGATTCTGTAAAGTGGTTGATTGCGATGAATGAAGAAATTGAATCTCTTCATCAGAATGAAACTTGGGTTCTTGTAAAGCCGCCGTCAGCTAAGAAAATTGTTGGTTGCAAGTGGGTCTTCAAGAAAAAGGAAGGTATTCCAGGGGTTGAAGATGCAAGATATAAAGCACGATTGGTTGCAAAGGGCTATAGTCAGGTACAAGGTGTTGATTTTAATGATATATTCTCACCTGTTGTTAAACATAGCTCTATTCGTGTTTTGCTTGCTTTAGTTGCCATGTATAATTTGGAGTTAGAACAGCTCGACGTTAAGACAGCTTTCTTACATGGCGAACTTAAAGAACAAATTTATATGAGACAACCCCAGGGTTTTGAAATTGAAGGTAAGGAAGACCATGTTTGCTTATTAAAGAAATCCTTATATGGATTGAAGCAGTCTCCAAGACAATGGTATAAGAGGTTTGATTCCTTTATGTTGGGTCATGGTTATTTGAGGAGCATGTATGATAGTTGTGTTTACTTCCGAAAGTTAAATGATGGTTCTTTCATTTATTTGTTGCTTTATGTTGATGACATGCTCATTGCTGCCAAGAATTTGTCAGAAATTCACACCTTGAAACTGCAGTTAAATAGTGAATTTGAAATGAAAGATTTGGGAGCAGCTAAGAAAATTTTTGGCATGGATATTAAGCGAGATCGAGGAGTAGAAAAGTTGTTCTTGACCCAGAAAAATTACCTTGACCAAAACGCTCCAAGACCTTCTCAAGGTAATTTTTCTGGGTCAAGAACAACTTTTACAAAACTTCACAAAATTCATTAAATTCATCATTCTTAACCGCTTAAATTCATTAAATTCACCTTCACAAAATTCCATGCCATTATCCGTTCTTAACCGCTTAACATGTTTTCCTGTTTGTTTCTCAATCAAAACTTTTCACTGTTTGAAAGTTTGGAAAACATCATTTTTATGTTTAAGAAAATAGACCCAAACTTTCCTTGAATAATCATCAAAGAAAGTCAACATGTACCTGGCACCACCTTTAGAAGGAGCACGAGAAGGACCCCATAGATCTGAATGAATGTAATCAAGAGTACCTTTTGTCTTGTGAATTGCTGGTGAACTGAAGCTGACTCTTTTCTGCTTCCCAAAAATACAATGTTCACAGAATTCCAATGGACCGGTACTTTGTCCACACAGAAGTCCTCTTTTGCTTAGTATGTCCAAACCTTTTCCGCTCATGTGCCCCAAACGCATATGCCATAATTTGGTGATGTCTGTATATGATAAAGATGATGTTGAAACAGCAACAGCACCTGTCACAGTAGATCCCTGCAAAATATATAAAGTACCAGATCTGTGTGCCTTCATAACAACAAGAGCTCCTCGAGTGATTTTGAGAACTCCATCTCCACCTGAATACCTGCACCCGATAGACTCAAGAGTGCCCAAAGAGATGAGATTTTTCTTCAAATCTGGAACATGTCTAACATTTGTGAGCGTTCTCACAATACCATCGTACATTTTAATCTGGATTGTACCTTTGCTAACAACTTTACAAACAGCGTTGTTGCCTATTAAGACAACTCCACTTTCAGTTGGTTCATATGTTGAAAACCAGTCCCTGTTGGGACACATATGATATGAACAACCCCAATCTAAAATTCACTCATTGTTAGACCTAAAATTATTTTCTGTTGCACAGAAAATAGTTCCATCATTCTCATCAACAGCAATACTAGCCTCGGTGGTTTCACTCCTTTTCTCCTTTTGCTTTTCTTTATTTTTCAATTTAAAGCAATCAGAGATAATATGGCCCTTCTTTTTACAATAGTTGCACACCACATTTTTATGTCTGGACTTGGATCTACTTCTATTTTCTGTGTTTCTCCTTTCAGATCTACCCCGAACAAACAAGCCATCAGCTTGACTCCCACTAGTTTCCCCAGTAATATCTCTATCTATCTGCTCTTTAGATTTTAGTGCAGATTTAATTTCCCGATATGAAATTGTTTCCTTTCCATAAATCATAGTGTCACGAAAATAATTAAAGGACTGGGGAAGGAAACACAAAAGTAATAAGGTCTGATGTTCATCATCAATTTTCGAATTTATATTCTCCAAATCCATAATAATGGAATCAAATTTATCAAGATGGGAAAGTATAGATGTACCTTCAGACATCCGAAGCATATACAAACTCTGCTTCAAATATAGCCGATTCTCGACTGTCTTCTTCATATACAAAGCTTTCAATTTATCCCATATAGCCTTGGCCGAAATCTCCGTTGCTACCTCACGCAATACCTCATCGGAGAGATTCAAAATTATGCTGGATCTAGCCTTCTTATCCATATCAGCGAAATCCGCATCCTTTACATCTTCTGGTTTGTTCTCGATTCCATGAATCGCTAGATCAACTCCATCTTGAACAAGAATGGCCTCCATCTTGAGCTGCCACATGCTGAAGTTGACATTTCTGTCGAATTTCTCGACAACCGTCTTTGTTATCGTCATTGTTGTCACAAAATCTGTAATCCTAAGTTTGTCTCAAAAAACTGGCGAAACAAATATGCAAATCTCGTGAGTGGGTCCCATAAGGTAAGTGGGCCCCACGAGATAAGCGGGCCCCACGGAGATGAACGGGCCCCACAAGATGAGCGGGCCCCACGGATGAACGGGCCCCACAAGGTGAGCGGGCCCCACGAATAAATGGATCCCACAAGATGAGTGAGCCCCACAGAATGGACGGACCCCACCAGATGAACGGGCCCCACGAGATGAACCTGTCCTGCAAAATATATCAACCAACTCTGATACCAGTTTGTTAGGACCGGGCCAGGAAATAGACAAATTCAAGTTAGAACAAAGTAGGCGGTATAACCGACCATATAATAGATAGGCGGTAGATACCAACCATATAATAATTAGGCGGTAAAATCGACCATATAAAGACGGATAACAAAGCAAATAAAAGACACAGAAGATTTACGTGGTTCGGTCAAATTGACCTACGTCCACGGGCGAGGGAGGAGCAATATTTCTACTATGAAGAAGAAATACAAAAGTCGTAGGAAAGTGGTTCCTAGACCAAAAGGCACTTATAAAAGGTTTAGGAAATATTCCTAAACACAATACAAGAGAGCCTAAAATATTTGACTAAATGGGCTAGATGACTCAAGAAGCTAATAGCCCATATAACTCTCTTGAGTGGTGCACCTTAAACCTTCATACGCTTCCCTATTTATAAGAAAACAACGGAAGGCTTTCCTTGGCTACCATCGATGTGGGATGGAAATGTTTGCCACACAAGTCAAGCCGCAATGCTTGACAATTCAACAGTCCTGATTGTAGCTTTTCCACAATTAAGTCTTTTCCTCCATCATCAACAACTTGCCAGCAGTTCCTCCAGTTGCTGCTGCAAAGTGACGCCTAGCAATCATCTTATAACTTATTAGATTAGCAAACTAAATTAGTTCATCTTTTAGTTCTGGTGGAACATCACAAGGAATTGATATCAGGACTGTGATGGAATAAAGAATATGTGCACTTCTTGAATTTGGATTTAACATTTGCAAGAGTTGTATAATAGCCTTTTTTTTTTGGGTGACAGTTTAGTCAGTTCCATAGCATATTTTTAGCATTCATAATATTGTGAAGAAAAGAGCTTTATCCTGAAACACAATCATATTCTAACAATTTTGCCTGTGTGTGTGTGTCACAATAGTGTGCTGCAGATAAATGTGCATATGCATATAAACGCTCAGACAACAATATTTCGTGATTGTTTGTTAGGCCTTGTTTAAATTATGGTTTCTTATGCTTTCCTAGTCCTACTTGTATTGGTACAAAAGCTTACAACTGTGTCTTTCAGGATGCTACAGCATGTGCACTTGTAGCACATAAATTACGCCGCCCTGTCAGGACATATCTCAATAGGAAGACTGACATGATAATGATTGGTGGAAGACATCCCATGAAATAACTTACAATGTCGGATTCAAATCAAATGGAAAGGTCACAGCTTTGCACCTTGACATACTGATTAATGCTGGGTTATCTGCAGAAGTTAGTTGATAGGTTGCAATTTTATCATTTATTTTATTATTAATTTTCCCTATTATCTGACCTATTGTGGATTAATTGTTAGATTCTACTCACTTTTGATATTTTGCATTTATTTCAGGGAGTAGAACAAAAATATGATAACAAGTGACAATTTAACAAGAAAAGAGCCCAAATAACAGAGCTTATCCCAGGGGTATTATTGGCAAAGGAAGACTTTTGCCCATTTTGGTAATTTCAAAAGAAGAGAGCAGGGCAGAGGCTTCTATTTTACTGGAGGGCTGGAGCGCCGCAGGGATCCTCGTCTTCTTCTTCCTCTCCGGAAGGAGGCCGCCGCACAGGAGAGAGCTGAAGCTTAGCATGAGATTTGCTTTTCCTTTTGGACTTTTGACCAAGGAGCTCCTGCGCATGGCAGGAATATCAAGGAATTGTTTCCTTTGACTTTTCTTGGGCTTCTTAGTAGTAGTTGCCTCACGGATTTCAGCAGCCAATGTGGCTTTTGTTGACTTTTCTTGTTAGCTTTATAGTAGCTTTTCCTTTGACATGTCAACGGCAATTGAGAGATTGAATCACTCTCCGTAGTTTCTCGTTTTTCCTTATTCCTTCGGCCGAGTTGAATTCGCGCGAGCAAGAACGATGGCCGCAGATTTTGCTTTTATTCCCTGTGGATTTTGTTCATCAATTATGAACTAATTTTCCAATTCTAGTCAAGGAGCAACGAAGGCTCTGATTCGCCTAAAATTGTGAGATCGATTTAATTTTATCTTTTTCTTTTATTTATTGGTATTCGCATATTTCCTGGTTACAGTGCTTATGATTGTTTAATTAATTGATTGCGTTGGATCCGGATAATTAGTTAATTTGGTAATCTATTGTCAATTGGGACGTTAAATCCGTAATTGTTTAATTGTCTCAAAATAGTGACGACTGGCATGATTGAGTTCGTGTCAGGGGAATACGCGGACTAATCTAAAATAACCCTGGTAGTGCGTTATTTGATTAGAATAGGGCTCCTCTAATACGTAAGGCAATTGGGGAATTAAATTCTATGGGCGTACCTAGGATTATTTCTCAATTAGAGCAGTGATTAACGAGCGTACCTTAATCATCGACACAGTAAAGAGGGGTTGACTGCCATCGCTTGTTTGGCAGTTATAACCTATTTATTAGTAAATAATTGGAATTGCTTCTGCTTATCGATGATCAATTAGGTGCACCATTGTTGAAGTTATTCCTTGGCTAGATTCTTAATTATCACTCATTAGATTTTAGTAAATTGTTATTTAATCTCTAGTTGGCTATTTTATTTTTATTATTTTACTTTTAGTTGGATTGCTTAAATTGTCACCTCTGGTATAAAAACACCCCCTTTGTCTCTGTGAATTTGAAAAGAAACAATTACACCCAGTCCCTGTGGATTCGACCCTTCTTACCACTATCTACAGAAATTAACTTTAGTTTGAGCAGGTTTTATTATTGCACAGGCTTCGACAACCCGTCAATTTTTTGCGCCGTTGCCGGGGACTGGTGCCAGATTAATTTGTTTCTTTTTGAGTTTATCTTATTTTCAATTTTTTTAATTTATTTTTCTCTTATTTTTTTTATTTTTTTATGGCTGCTAAAATTCCATATTTTGATGATAGACTGGACTTTGTTCCTGATTGGGGTTATGAGACTCATGTTTTTCCTAATGATCAATGGGCTGTTGCAAATTGTGGAACTTATTTTGACTCAGGTTATTCAACTGACACATGCCCCGCATTTCAAGATAATCTAAGTGCTCCAATTGATACTTTTGGAGATTTTTCACCCCAATATCAAACGCAGTATGACCCTTATTCAAACGGGTATGATCAAGGATGGTGGGATAATTTAAATTTTGATTATGCGACCGGGCCAATGGATTTCCAACAGCAAGAGTCTCAACAACCATCGTCTATGTCAGGTATGTCTTTTCAGGAATTGGGTGAATTATTTATTAATACATACCGATTCCAACAGGAGACACAAATGAGGAATGAGATGATGAAGGATGCAATGAGTTATCTGGCAGATCAACTATGTCTATTGACATCCAGAATGAATCGATTGGCTTCTCAAATGGAAGAATTGCCCTCGAAAACCATTGTTGATCTAGAAGAAAATGAGAGTGCAATTTGCTTGACTAGTGATGAGGAGATGCAAGAGTGTCAAAATGAGAAATCTACAGATGCAGTTGAAAAAGAATCCGAAAAGGAAGAAATGGAACCCCAACCGCAACCCATTCAAGTGAAAGAATCCAGTGAACAATCTCCAAATGCGGTGACATCTCCTCCACTCCTTCATCAATATTCTCCCGACTCTTACTCTTCAATTCCTGTTAACGAAATTGACTTTATTATACCAGACAATTTTGAATTTCATGACAAGAATAAATTAAGAGTGGCGATGGCAAGATATCTTGAACCAATAACTGCAAGTGAGGGAGGAGTGAACGGAGAATTCAACTTATCGTTGACTTGTTTGGCGCCATTTACTAGTCCATGGAAGCCCGTAACTCGTATGCCCAAGGATTACTCTATTTACGAGGGCTATCAGGACTATATAGTGGATGAAGCATTAAAACAAGCCACAAGATTTTATCCTCCCTAAGCAAACGTGATAATGTCTAGCCAAAGACATTAAAGAAAGGCGCTCATTGGGAGGCAACCCAATTATTTCTTTTAATTGTTTGTTTTGATTTCGTGTGATAGTTTAAATATGTTTTCCTTGAGTTTGATTGGTTTTGGGTTTGAAATTTTCGTTTTTGGTGAGTTGTAGGTATCTATCTGACTCGGCGCGCCCCCGTCATGTTGCAGGAAAAGCTCACGGTCAGAGAGCTCTCTTGCTCTCATGACGTGCCCGCGTCACGTTCGCAGGAAAGGTAAGGATTCTAAAAAAAAAAAAAAAAAAAAAATTTCTTATCACCGTAGCTTTAGTTTCCAAAATTCAAAAAAAAAAAAATTAAAAAAAAAATTGATTTCCGTAGAAAAAAAAAAACAAAAAAAAAGAAAAAGAAAAAAAAATATTTCTCACCATAGCTCAAATGGAGCCTAAAAAAAAAATTTTTCTTTTTCTTTTTCTTTTTCCTTCTTTTCTTTCTTTTTCTTTCTTTCTTCTTTCTTCTTTCTTTCTTCCTTCTCCCCTGCTCTCTCTCTGTTGTCCGAATCCCTTTTGCCCGCCGCCTACTCGCGCCGCCCACCTCACTCACGCCACCACCTCGCGTCTCGCACGAAGGACCAGCCAGCCATCCACTTCGCACCTCGCCACCCGCCGCTGCTGAAGCTCCATCGCCACCGCCGCTGCCCATCTTCCTTCCACACGCAGCTCCTTCCTCACGCAACCCAGCTGCCCTGCGCACGAAGCTCCACCGCCGCACAGCCAGGCAGCCGTGCCTCCCTCCAGCTCCTCTGAGCTCCACTGCGTCGCCACCTCCGCCCCTCTCTGCTCGCCTAGCTCGCACGCCACAGCCCAGCAGCCTGAGCTCTCCGCCTTCAGTGCCGCGCCTCTTTCACCAACCCTCGCGACTGACGGCCGCTTACGCACCTCTCCCTTTCTGTCGGAAGCAACGCCAACAGCGCTGCCAGCAGCCGCGCTCCCAACTCCTCCTCTCGCCCGAAGTCAGCCCGCGGCGCCACGGTTGCGCCGTTCTCCACATCTCTCACTCTCTCTCCCGCGTCTCGCAGCCCCAATCTCTCGCACTCTCACGCCAGCCACTACCACCCCAGTTCTTTATTTGGTAGCCGGTAGAGGTATTTCAACCTCGATCCCCAATTTTTGGTGTTGATTGGTATCATTAGCGGCTGTGTTACTTTACTCCGGATTTGTTCATTTGCTGTTGTTGCCTATCTAATTGATAGTGCAGGGATTATGCCTGTGTTACTACGGTCTATATTCTAACTTGCTATTTCGGGTCGGCCAATTTCTTGGGAATATTTATTGTGTTTTTTGTGGATTTGAGTTCAATTGTTTTGGGTTATTGGGTGTTTGACAGTTGCCCTGCTCTTAGCCTCTTTGATTAGCACATTCGTTGAAATTGGTTGTGCTCTAGCACAGTGCCGGGGGGCATTTGTTCAAACTTTTGGGGGGAATTGTTGAAGTTCTTGGGTGGGCTGGAATTTTAACAATTGTCTGTGATATTTTGGGGAGGATCTCGGCCAGTGTTGTGCTTGTTGAAATTTTGGTTGATTTAATTCGGCAACTGCATTCCTTGTTGGCATTAGTAGTTTTTAATCGAGTTTTTGAGGACATTCTAGATGTTGGTTTATATTGCTGATTTGGAGGAACAGTGTCTATGATTTTGGTCTGATCATTTGTGCAATTTGTTGACTCATTTGAGGACTTATTTGTTTCCTGGGTTTGTTTATTGACTTCGGTGGACTGGGTTCCCACCTACGGTTCCTCTACTTGCTCTATTCATTGGAATTCTAGTCGCCTGTTGCTCTTCTTTAGAGATTTAGAATCTTTCTTGTGACTAGATTAACACTTTGGACTATTGCTTTACTACTGCTCTACTTTGCTATAGCAATTTCATTGATTTTGGACTACGTTTTGCACCAGTGGTACTGGTGGGAATATTTTCAATTGAATTTGGTACCTCTATTGGGTTGGCTGAGTTATTATTGTCAAATATCTAAGTTGTCATTGTTGAAATTGCTGATTTTAAGTTAAGGCATTAACTGGCCAACTGGAGCCATTTTTTTTTGAGATTTTGGGTGGACAGAGTTTTGCAATTGCTGGTTGAATTGAGTTATGATGTCTCAGAACTTGGGTGCGCACTTCCACCACATCGATTTCCCTCCATCGTCCCCGCCTACCCCGTAGCCACTTGAGAGGGAAGTTTCGTTGTCCTCTTCACTTTAATTGCTTTAATTCCTCCATTGAGGACAATGTAGGA